TGCGCATCTTATACACCATACCCTTATAGTTATCAGAGTCCGATCCCGAGTCATGGGTTGCTTCGTCCAAGGAGACCTTGTAGACCTGGGGTGGGTATTTGTTTAAGGGGACAAATTTGAATACACCTTACCTAACAGAGGCCTTTGTGCCCTATCGATTATATCATATTAATTTATATCTCAAGGATTTTGATGCCACTAAGGAACATATTGGCTTTGGCCATAATCGTAATTTAGTAGTGCCATTTGGCGGCAGAACCATTTGGTTCAGAGGTCCCCGGGTCATAGCCGTTTACCTGCAATGCCATTTGACGGCAAAACTGCCGGTTAGGGGATACGTACCATGTCCTTACTGGCAATAGACTGTTTTGAGAATGAATCCTACTGATATTCTCGACCAGACATTAGCTCTTTGTGAGCCGAAGTATTTTTCAATTTGTCCACCTCGCTAAATTATTTTGGAGGGTGGATGGACTTTGCTTTAAGTGGTTGATAATTGAATTTCAATTTTAAATATTTGAAATTTTGGTAGTTTTTTGGAGTTTTGGGTTTGTGGATATTTGAGTGGAACTTTGAAACATTGGAATTAACCCCTCTTGTTGAGATTTTCTATCAACATGGTCATCATCGGGGTGAACATGGGTAATTGCATTTCGTGGGAATTTGAACTTTATGGAAGTTTGGAGGCATTTGGAATGATTGGAGTTAACTCATACAGTTGATATGTACGTTGAACACGGCTATCATCGGGGTGTTTATGGGGTCATTGCATTCGTGGATTGAACCTTGTCGACTTTGTCTACTTGCTGATAAAGGATCCGATTTCGTAAGCTTTATGTTTTTATTAATGAATTTTCTTTGTTGAATGCCTTGAAGGCCTTATATGAACGTATAAAACATATATTTTGGTCGATACCCTGATATATCTGTTTGCTAGTTCGAGCCATGTCGACTCCTATATATCCATATAGAAGGACCGGGCTCGAATTATGATTCATTTATTAACCCGTGCAGCATCCTTAAACGTAACGTGCTACCATAACATGCTCGTCGGGGCCCAAGCAGGTTTTTTATGATTGCACTTGCCCCTCTGTGTACCTATATGCATACATATTATAGTGCATGCACGAGGGCATTCTTAGAATATTTGTAAACGCCTTCTGTCAGCTTGCATAGATGTTGCAGATTCGGTGGTGTGGCATAACACTACGGTCATTTTGCCCATTTAGTACAGGTAGACTATTGTGCACTACTTGTTTCTTTCTGCAGGATGATTATAGTGCACTAACGAATCTCCTGCTTTTGCTTGTATGTACTTGCATTCATCATGAGCTTTCTGTGTTAGCTCATAGATGGCTTGTATTTGTTGCAGTTCTTCTGCATTGGCTATGATACTTTTTATGTTCTCGCTCATAGATTGTATGTTGACGGGTTTACTACGACAAATTGTAGAGGTTTTCACTTGTTGCATTTCTCGCTACACTTGCTCATAGATTGGACCAGTGCATGCACTTTTAGTCTTCTGCGAGCAAGTTGCTTTGAATGCGGATCTTCTAGCACCGTTTGCAAGTATTTGCATTGACTACGGATCTTCCATATTTGCTTGTAGGTAGCACATTGTGTTTATGACAGGTCTCCTACAACGATCCTTAGGAGTCGCATCTGTTATAGTCTGTATGCACTTGCTAGCAGATGATGTGTTGAATGTATGGCTATGGACTAGCTTCTTTGCCCACATCCGTCCATTAAGTGGGAACCCTTGCTTATTTAACATTGCTCTCGGGTGTCAGTGCAGTGGCCCTTGCACACTTCTTACTGTATTCGAACCATACAACTTGTCGCTTCCAGAAAATGCCATAATATTAACACAAAGTGTTAAAGATTAATGTCATGATTATTTGACAAGTTTTATGCTTATTGTTAACTACCTAATGCACCCTCTACTTTTCTCATTATATTTATTATTTTTATTGCTTTTAAAAAATTATTTTTTTGTACTTCTAAATTTCTCTCTGAGATACAAAATCGTTTCATTTTTAACCTTAACTTCTAGAGTTTATCAAGTGAGTTG